GGGAGTCTGGGGAGGGACAGGTGGCTGGGGTGTGGTGGGGAGTGGGGGTGGGGGTGTTCCTGCATGGTCTCTGGGGCCTAAGCTCTTGCCAAGTGGGGGCCCCAGCTGTGACAGGTGGGCACAACGAGGCCAGCCTGGGGAGGCTCTTCTCTGGCAGCTCCACTGCCTTCCTCCATTGAGCTCTCAGCTGACCACAGCAAGGAGGAGGCTGCCCTGGGCAGGCCTGCGGGCACTCTCTCCTTGTACAGAAACAAATAACCCACTTCCTCTCCTCAATTCCCTCCCTTCTTCCCCATCAGAGCTCTGCCCCTCCAATGCCTCACGATCTATCCCAGGAGGCAGTCCGCTTCCCTGCTTCTGCCCTGGGATGACCTTGAGTAAGCTCCCTGGCCACGGGAGTGCTGCTTCCGACCTGGAATCCGACTGAGGTGGCCCCTCCTCTAGCCACTGAGGCTGAAGGGAAGAGGGACGGCAGACACCAAAACCACACTTGCTGCCACGGGCTGGTGCTAGTTCCCGGTGATCTGAGCGCATGCCTGGGTTCTGGAGTGACCGGCTCCGTCGACTTTTCTTGGCTATAAACGTTAAGGAAGCAGGTTGCCAGAGGCGCCGTGCACCGGTCGGAACCACTAAGCTGGACGTTAGCGGTAGCAAGCAGACCGCCTGCACCGGGTTCAACCAAGCCCATAGAGCAGGTGCCTGCTCTGGGCCAGGTGCTGGTTTGGGACCTCTGCCCCCACAGAGGTGAGCGAGACCTGGTCCCCGACCTGAATGGAATTCCCCTTCAGATTGGAGAGAGGCAACAAGGGCACCACGGTGTCCATCTGAGCACCCAAGGTTGTGGGTGCCGGGTGTCTCGGGTCTGGGCTGCCTCTCACCGTCTGCTGGGTGGACCTCTGCTGAGCACCTACCATACTTACAGTGCTGGGCGGTCGGCGGGGTCTGAGGGGTTCTGGTCAGAGGAGTAACCTCAGGCCTCGGTGGGGAGAGTGGGCAGTGGGTGCCGTGTGCCATGGTCAGACCCTGGGCTAGGTGACCAAGTCACACTCTACGCGGGAGACCCTGGTTCAGGGGCAGGGACAGGGACGCTAGCAGGTACCTCACAGCGCCACCACGGCGGGGGACCTGGGAGGTGCAGCCCCGTCGCCAGTGAAGTCAATGGACTGACAGTGACCTTGCAAGGATTGAGCTCACGTCCTGGGTCTTAGCAGAGAGGCGGGTGCACGAGAAGGTCTCTGTGAACTGGCTGCTGTCACCACCGGCATGTCTCTATGGGAAGGACTCATCCCGTGGCCTGGCTTCTCGAAGTGGACGCTTGCCTCTCTGAGCACATGTCAGAGGACTGCTCCCTGCCAGTTTCTGGTGGCCACCTTCTGTGTCCCAAGGCCCCAGCAGGGCAATGGGGGCCTCCTGGGCCTGCTCTGGCTGATACGACTTCTCCCATGCATGGCTCAGAGGCGCCCGCCACCTGGTTACATCTTTGCTGGGGCAGTTAGAGACGGGCTGGAGAGGCCAGGGTCTGTCTGAGTGCCTTGGGCAGCTCCAGGAGTCCGGCCGCTCTAGCCAGAGTCAACCACGAGCTAATTCCAGTTCTGTCTGGTTCCACAGAAACTCCACCCTTACGGCTCTCTCCTGCAGGAGACGGGGCCGGTCAACTCAACCAATGCCACCCAGGATAGAAGCTTTACCTCATCAGGACAGACTCTGATTGGCTGAGCAAACCCAAGGGCGGGACTCTGCTTCTGGCGACTTAACCCTTTCTTGGGCACCCCCTACCGCACAGACACCCCGCCTCAACTGGACCCAAAGTGGAGGACCAAGGTGGTGGGGCCAGGGCTGTCTGAAGGGAGCGACCCCAGGGTGCATGTGGACGGTGGCATCTGAAAGATCACAGGC